ATGCAGCGCAAAACAAATATGTACAGCTGTAATCTCTCTTTTCTCTCGTCATCTTCTTGTTGTTCTTGCAACGTGGCCTCGGAAACAACAGAAAATGTTGGGCTAGGAGTATGCAGGGACGGGCTAATACTAGGTGAATTATTCTGTGGACCCGTCGATGGTGTGTTCGCAAGCTGTTCTCCGCGGTAAATGCTAATTAATTCCCGTGCATGTTCATCTCCTGAGCCATCGTCAGTAACGTCTTCTTCAGACGAAGACGCAATCATTTTTCTCCAAACTGAACAGCAAAACAGACAGTCAACGAGTACAACAAACACTTAAGTCGAAAAGGTAAACAACAAAACGACCTCCACCGTAAAAATGATCAATCGATTGCTCATTTGGTTGATGAGTAACCGCTGGATGGCACCCAGATTTCCCGCATAATTTTCATTCCGACCAATCAGCGTTTGCCATTTTTGGGAAAGGAAGAGACGTCAGGTTGCGCGGAGGAAGCGAGAAGGGTTTTAATCGCGCGCCGTGGGGTTTTTCCCTCGCGAAATGGGAACTCAACCGCTTTCACGCTATGCTCAAAAGCACTTTCTCGAGTAATTTTCATTTTCCTTTTTTGAGCATCCAATCATCCAATTATAGGCAAAAAGAACTAGACCGAATTTGCTTTTTAAGCATTCATATCCTATCTCCCACTAACCCTAGGTTAATCCTGCTTTGAATATTCCGGCCCTGGTGCATTTGCCTTAGGCTATGTAGTAATTTGCTTTGAGGAGTCTATCAGCGATTCAGTGGAATAGAGAGTGAATGTCACACATATGGCGACATATCAACCGGGCGCGGTAAGCTGATGGACACTTTTCAACTATATTTCTACGACAAAAAATTGCGCTAATTGAAGCATTTTTTCCGTCATCGATTTGCGGTTTTATGTTGTATTATTTTCCAGAAGAAATCGGGCAGTCGAATATACTGGTAGTAAATTTGTTCCTCCAGGTGATTTAAATTCATGAGTTCCAATATCAGAGGATACTAGCCACTATTTATATGGGAAGAATAATTAACGTCCTTACAATGAGTTTTCATTGAAGCTAGGTTACATTCGTCGTCGATCATCTCAAGAGCGGTTGATCATCTATATCGCGGAAAAATTTACACTTTCAAAAATTACGTTTACACATAATCAAATTTGAAGAAAAACTTCCGTATTTCTGGGTGAAAAATACCCTGAAGTATGGCACCACAAGAAATACTACGCAGACTGCGGCGTTTGGGGAAAAAATAAAACTTTAACTTTGTTTTGTGTGCTCCGGCATACATCTCAACGTGAAAACATAAAAAAATTGAAATGCAAGTAACCAATTAAAGTGAAAGAAATCAGTTAAAATAGAAAACGTTAAGTTAAAGTTTTATTTTGTTCTAGAAATAAGTTTATTTTCTACCGGCATACATCTCAACGTGAAAACATAAAAAAATTGAAATGCAAGTAACCAATTAAAGTGAAAGAAATCAGTTAAAATAGAAAACGTTAAGTTAAAGTTTTATTTTGTTCTAGAAATAAGTTTATTTTCTGATGTTTAGTACCGCCATTTGCGTGTTATTTCTTGTTATAAGAAAAACTGTTTGAATCTCTCGGTATAGGTCTGGCCCTGAGGAAGGCTAATTTTGTAAGCCGAAATATTGCCCTATAATAAATCAACCCTTTGCCGTAGTGCCAGCCCTGCATTGAGTTTTGTTTTAATTTCTTGTTATAAGATATTAGCTGCTATTGAAAAAAGATCTACTACATGGTATCATATTAACTACTTCTGAAGAGGATTTTTGGTCAGGTATTTGGGTATTTGGGCATTGTTAAGCAGGCCCTTTACACCTGACGCGCGGTCACGTGACTTTCTCAGAATAAAATTATGGGATGCAACCCTACAAATACCTGAGATAGTAATAGAAATACTAATTATTACTATTTTCCTATACACACCCTTCAGTAGGATTTTCCAGATATTCCACTAAACCAACAAGATCTTACTGTTATCTGCCAGTCACCTCATTTAATAGCATCTTGTGTTCTTTTATGTCTGGTATTGTTTTAAAAGTTGAATTCCACAATTATTACATAAGGGAGGTCACGTGAATACGACCTGCAATAGGCTTATACTGATCATTCAAAGAAAAATAATAATAATAATAATAATAATAATAATAATAACAATAATAATAATAATAATAATAATAATAATAATAATAGTAATAATGAATTGAAATATCGCTTATATACTATAAGTGAAAAGCGCTATACATTAAGTTACAGTTAAAAAATACTTTTACTTTTTACTTTTGTTTAAAAACAAAGAAACTGCTAAACTTCTCTACCAAAATAGAAAGAAAGTATTCAAAATCGCTAAACAATCAGAACTATTCCGACAGATTAATAGCTTTCCTAAAAAGAAATGTTTTAAGTTGCTTTTTAAAAATGGTGACATTGCTACTAGTTCTGATTGTTGATGGCAGCGAGAATGAGCAAAGGGGCGAACAGAGAAGATTGTGCGGCAGGGCCCGCGCAAAGGGAGGGGCTGGGGGGCCAGCTTCCCCCCCTCCCCGCCCCACTTTTTGAAAAAAAAAAAAAAAAAAAAAAAAAAAAAAAAAAA